GATCAGAGCTCTGTTCTGTTATCTCTGTTTGTCTGGGGAGACTTAATTCCTGGCACATTTGGGCTGGTGGAATCCCAGATACCAGAACTGGTAACTGGAACAGGAGCACAGTGCATTCCTCTCCTGCTCTTAGATCTATGTCAAAGAGTCTGTGAGGTTTGATGCTCCAGGGCCTATAACCTCCTTAACACAGCCTTGTCTGCAATTAATGTAATTAAGAAACCTCTTTCTTCCACCTGCCAAAACCTATCACCTGTTCTCTCTGTATCTTATACCCCTGCAGAAGTGTCCCAACATAGTCCCCTCTTCCTCCTACCTTGGTCTGTAGGCAGAGTTACCTACCAGCTCAGCCTTAATTTACATGCCACATGTTGACAAGATACTGAGAACCCCTTCAGCAGTCCCTTACCAGACTGTCCTGTACATGTCATGAAGCAGGATGGGTGAAGGCAATGAAAGGAGTAAAAGCCTAGCTTGAGCATGGCCTAGCTCAGATGTATTGGTCAGAAGCCTACTATCAGAGAGGTGGATGAATAGGATGAATTCCTGACATCTGAGCTGGAAGAGGAGCCATGAAGAGCCACAGTTTTGCAAACTGGGTTTAAATGAGAGTTCTGACTTTGGGACACCTGCTTAGGAACAGGCAGGGTGGTCACACAGGAACCACAGCTCTGTAAGACCAAATAGCTGGTTCCTTGTGCTGTATAGTTCCCAGCCAGCAGAGAACTGAGAAGCTGGTGGCCCCTTTTACATCTTCTCCAGAGCAGTTTGCTTTTTTCAAAAGAAAAGAAAGCAGGCCAGATCTTCAGCTGGGATTGGGCCATAATAACACTTTACAGACATCTTGCTCCTTCCCTCTTCAAAGACCTTTACAACTGTTATAATGGCTACCCTGCCTCCAAATAACCAGATTTCACAGCTCTACAGGTCTGAGGTATGCAGACAAGAAGTGTATAACCTGTGTACAGCCATTTCAGCTAGAGTCACTTAGAGTGCACCATTTTGCTTTGGGTCATAAATGTTTAACTGACTTTCACATGAAGATGAAAGTATGTAATCAAAGAGGGAAAAGACTTTCTCTATAAATAGGGACCTAAGCCAGAGAGGGAAGAGGTGACTTGTGCAGCATCACACAGTGGGTCAGTGACAGGAAAGATACAGAGTCTAGTGACTTCCAGCTTCTTCTCCACTAGAGCTTTCTGAGATTCTCCTGTGGCTGGTGTAAGGCTGTGTCTGTGCTGGGAAAAGACATTCATATAGCTGAACTGGGCTTATTACCACCTACCTTTGCCCCAGTACGGTGTCTAGTATGTCTTTAGACAAACTGGCTTGTTGAAGATGTCTTCTGTTGAGGACCTGGAGTCTGAGTGGCTCAAATGCTTCTAGCAGCAAGTGAGATTGTAGTGCAGGTCGGTCTGTAGAGATTTACCAGTTGAGCTGCCCAGTGAGTGAGGGTTGTTGAGGCCAAGCCCTCATTTAGTGTTTTGCTGATATAGTAGTAGCAATAAGGCAGGGATTTAAAACAAAGTTGTCACAACTGTATGGGCTGTGCCAGAGGAAGGACCTTTTTACAGAAACCATTTCCATGAGCATGTGCTCCATCTTCTTGTACATTTTGTGTTTGAGATTCAGAGTCCCAGGCCAGTTTTTAGGGTAGTTTTAACAGCTTCTCCTGCCCTTCCTGTCATCAGGGACAATTACATTTGGGAGTTACACTGTCTGAGTTCACCAGCTTGTGGCTATACCAGGTAAGTCAACATGAGCTGCAACCACACATTTGAGTACATGGTGACAACGAGCTAGGATGTCTCTTTTCCTCTTTCCTACCAGTTTCTTTAACTGCTTAGCCTTCCTACCTCACTGCCTTTATCAAGGAAACCTGGTCATTTACTAGCTACTGTTTCATTTGCTGTGACTGTTTTAGGGTTCAGTGTTATCTCAGAGAAAGCAAAGGACTTGTTGATGAAAAATGGTGTTACTAAATTGCTTGTGAAGACTTTGGCCTCTTTATTCTAGTGTGCTTTCAGCTTCATCGAATAGAAGAACAGATAAAGGTTGTTTAAGATCTGAGAAAGTGCTTTGAGCCAAAAACATCAGCCTGGAAAAGGCAGACCTCACAGAGAGCATTATGAGAAAAGAGTGAGTAGCTGGGCCTAGTTTGGAATAACCCTGAGCACAGCACCCTGAGCAAACTGGAGTTTGGCTCTGCCTGAGGACAAGCCAGATTTGCTCTGTTAGCTGCACTCAGGGTTGATTTTAGTGAGCTGACCCCCTAAGCCAAAGGCTGAATGTCGCATGCTGCATGCAGGAGATAAACTGCTCTGTGAGTGCTGGTGCTACAGTGAAACTACAGAGAGAGAGATTCTGAGTTTTGTTCAGCTCCTTTGTCTCTCAGTCCCCCTCCCCCTCCCCAGGGCGGTGACCCATTTTGTGCTCCTGCACTCACTGATCTAGTCTTGTCAGTGGCTCTGTTCCCAGGGACAGCTCTATTCCTCTTCTGCTGGCTCCTATGCAGTAGGACTTTGTAGTGCAGGTGACTATGCTGGTTTATTATGGCCTCTAGGCACCTTGCAAGAACACCCAGACACCTTCGGAGGTAGCTGAAATCAATGAGATCAAGAATGAAGTACTCAGTGAGACTCCCAGCAGATGCTGTGAGGCCACAGATACCCAGTGCCACTAAAACCAGCACCCCAGATATTTGCCTTGTCTTCCACCAAGTCCTCAGCTTAAACAGCCTTAGAGGATATTTTGATATCCTCCAGATCTGTTATCTGTTTTTTTTATTTTCTAACTGCACCTAAGGCCATGAAAACTTGGCCATCAGCATACCGTAAGAGGCCAGACATGAGCAGGAGCACTTGCCATTCTCCTTGACTGGCTGGCAGTGGAAATGCCCAGTGGGGTCCTGAGCTCTGTACAGCTCATGCCTTTGGTGTCTCTCTGCCTTTGCATAGGTAGGTAGGGCCTGAGGGCAGATCTGAGGGACTGTGATCTGAGTTCTTATGGCACTACAGCTCTGAAATGTGGAATGATTCACAAGTGAGGCATGAGCCAAAAGCACCATGTAGAGGCCATTGCAGAGTAATTGTTGCATGCAGGATGTTCCTGGCATTGTGCAGTCAGAGACAGGGGCAGATGTATTCAAGGTCCTTTTTTGCTTTAAGTGTTTCAGATGAATTTCATGTTTAAAACATCATTTCTTGTGCA